CCCCAATAATGCTTTCTTCTCTGATCATTTTTTGTTACCATTGTTTCTATTGCATTTGATGCTATGATGTCACTCTTTGCTTTTGCGTACACTAGCCCTTTGTTATATTTTTGTAATGTTTCGTTATTTCTTTAGATTTAAATTAAATGTCAGTTTATTATAAAATTTTATTTCAATAAATCAATGTATTGCATTGAAGTGTCACATTTCATCTCCTTTTCCTAACTAGCCAAACTTAATGATGTATTTTCGATTCATTTTAGAAGTTAAATTAAACATCATTGAGATAACATAGATCATCTCAGTAAATATTATTTGGAGTTATTGACTGTATTAAAGAATGTCTTTAATACTGTATGTAGTTGTAAAAAGATATCAAAAAAATATAACTTTTACAATTTTTGAAATTTTGGACGTTTTAATGAAAAACTCGGCGATTTGTTAATGAACGGCAGGGCTCATCATATTTTTGCTCCTTGTGACCAAAGCCAGCGTTATGTTGCTGGCTGGGACCCTTGGAGAGTGCTATGAGAAATTTAGGTGGCGAATGCCAAGGATTCAGAAATTCATCTGTGAATGCATGCTGCTGCTAGTTGCTCTAAATTGTCGATACACATGTATTCTTCCATGGTAAGACGTGATATTTTGAACACACGTGGCACAAGTAGTCGTCTCCGTGGAATGCCAAAACATATATTCGGATAGCCTGTTACCTGTTACTTGATACTGTCACATGCATTGTCATTAGATAACAATAAATGAGCAAATGATTGATCCCAGAACGTATTCCAACAAACTCTTCTAACAAAAATATGTTGATAGGAAATATTGACATGTTACAAATCGTGGAATGCATTCTAATCCAAATCAATTCGAAGATCAAAAATTAGTGCGTGTAAATTGTGATTTATACTGCCTACATTTACTGGTGAAAATAAAGCAAAATCATTGATGATCTAAATCCTTATTTGAAATTTCGCCAAATCTATTTTCAAATTGAATGTGTATCATTCACAACACTTTCACGTACTCAGCCAATTTTAGTGCTCAATTAACCTAACACTTGACTTTAGGCTGTAAAATTTCCCATTTAGGAGCCGAAAATAAGCTATTAAAGGGAGAAAGCAAGTATTATAGTTTCTGTAGAATAAACTGACATGAAAACGACTTTTTGGAATAAGTTTTATTTCAAACTATTTTATTAAAGATATTTTAGTATGAAATATTTTTAAAAAAATAAGAAGTTTATTTTAAAAGATAAACATTGCACTAATTTGAGGTATACAAAGGCACATTAAATTTATTTTATATCTAAAATCTCTGGAACAATTTTTTTTAAAATTTACCTCCCAATATTCAACCTAAATCTCTGCTTAATTGAACATGGAAAGCGTGTCTTTTATTTCTTATAAAGCGATTTTAAGCAGGAAATTCTATTTTGCTTTCTATTCTTGAGTTGTGAGTGAAATTCAATTTTGGAGATTTTTGGCATGGAATATGTCCTCTTGAGACATCCATTCGAATTTTTTATGCGGTGCAAAGCCATGATATAAGATATATATGTGAATTGGTCAAAAGGTTCATCAAATTTTGTGGCTCCTCAGAACAATACTCAATTTGAAAGTAGCTCTACAAACAAATATGAATTTTTCGGCACTAATGCTGAAATAGGCTTATTAGGCAGTATAAATGGTGGTTCCTGTGATGTAATGAGATAGAATGTATATATTGTTTACTTATTTACTCACCTTTTCTCTCTCTTCTTCTTTCTCCCCTCTTCTTTCCTCCTTCTCTCCTCTCCTTCCCTCATTCTCTTCTCTCCTTCCCTCTTTCTCCCCTCTCCCTCCTCGTTCTTTCCCACCCTTTCAGTTTCTCCCCCTCCCTTTCGCTCGTCAACGGCCTGTTCTTCCCTCCTCGGCCTCGCCCTGCTCGGCATCAATGCATCATTGATGCCATCTAGTGCAGTTACAGGAAAACTAACAGTATAAAGACCCTCTCCATAGAAACACGTGGATGTGCCAACTGTCGTGGTGATCGGCTTCACGGTGTTCGAGTTGATCGATCTGGTGCATATCAACATCCATATATTAATATACAGTTGACTCCGGTTATAGTGAACTCGGCTATGCGAACCCTTAATATTCCTTTTTACTTTCTTGTATACGTACGTATATACGGAGTAATATGCGAGGAATGCAGAAATTTATGTAATGCTGCGGAAAATCTATTTCGAGATTACAATTTAAATACACATTTTGGAGAGTGGAGAAAAAGTTTTTTTTTCAAAACGTCGTTCCTGGTTTGGTAATTGTTATTAAATTTTTGATGACGTCTGAAAATGATAACATCCCTCATTTTAACTTATCAGAAGTCATATAGCAGGTGTTGTCAGCCTGTTAATAAATTAATTTCCGAGTATTTAATCATCTTGTTAAACAAAACTCACAGAACACAAATAAAGCCAGAAAAATCGCACACTCCTTTGACACAATTTTGGTCCCCAATGTTTGCCGCCCCTAAAACGTGTCCCCGCGTGCTTTCTGTGCCTATGCGTAAACCCGTCCCTGCAGACCGTAAAATATAATGTTAAGAGAATAGTTTAGTATAGCTCTGAAGAAGGCCACAGCAAGGTGGCCGAAACGTCAGCACAATTGACCGAGACGCGGCTCATCCCGGATAGCTAAGAATGCAATGTTAAGAGACGTTAGCAGGGGAGTTGAGTGGCGGGCCTGATTCGACCAATTGTGCGGCTTCCTGCCGTCTATTGCGTAATCGGTGCTACGTCGCCCCCTCTCCCCCCCCCCCTTCCGCGAGGTCGCCGGTGTGTAATAGCTCGCTCCCGGCCACGAAGTCTGTAAGTAGGAGGCGCAACTCGCGTGTTGGATTCATGGTGGGGGTACGGACCTAAAGCGTCGACAGTTAATCAAGCACACTTAGCTTCAGCGACATCACGCGGTGAATGAAGGAACTTCTCTCGGCCTTTTATTCGGCCACTACCAACGCGCGTGACCAGCACCATCTACTCTGAAGTAAATGTAAATAAATGGAGATTGCATCGATTTGTCACAAGATGTTGGTGGCCATAAATACAAAAATGAAATAAATGGCGAGGCTCAGGCCATTTGGTATGCTTTTCCACCTGACCACTTTCAAAATGTTAATGCATTATTAGAAGCAGATAATTCAAAGAATGTATGTACTATACGATTAGGGGTTTCTCACATATACGATAGGAGTGAAAACGAGGGAGCAGGCAGTTGATAGACAGGTAACGCTCTCACAGCATTCCTGTTATTAAATTTATTAAGTTCGACTAAGAAATGGATTTCAAATTAATATGAAATATTTCAAGTGAAGACATTTGAACACTCTACGAAATTATACTCAAATACAGTGAAATTATATTCGTGTGGATCAGCAAGTTAGAAGAAGAAGAGGAGGAAGTGTTTAACTCAGTAAACTGTTAATAAGTACTACTAATTGTTACAAGGAGGTTTTGTAGAAGCTAAAATTATACGTACGTTTTCTTTTATTACCCCTAACTAAAACTAGAAAAGGAGGGCATATCATCAGCCTACACACATCAGTGCGTATAAGCTTTGAGAGAAACGAAATATATGAAAAAATAATGGTAAATGATTTTATGTATATATAATAATAATAATAATAATAATAATAATAATGTAAATCTACACGACTATTATTTTTTTAAATTGGGAAGTGAATATGATCATTTCAATTTAAAATATTTCTTGAATAATCTGGAAAACCTGACCCAACACGTCTCACCCGTAAGCCAACGATTTCATTTACTCCTGAGACTGCAAGTAAGGGACAATCCTGTTACGAGCCTTAAGCGATTCAGTAAACCCAGGCCATTGGCCAGAGCCGCTTTTAAAAGTTCTCCCATTGACCGCGTGACGTATCTGAAGCTAAGTGAATCTGATTAGCTGCAGTGCTTTTCATGGATATACAGGCGTACACAGGCCTTCGAGCGCGGAAAGAAATTCTAAGTCGGTTAGGGAAACCTACATATTTCGTCAGAGCGGATCACATGCACACAATTCAGACAAGAATTCATAAAACGGACGTTGGGAAGTATTCATTCGCGAATCGAACTATTAGAGACTGGAACGGTTTGTCTGTGACAATCTTCGATCTCTTTCCTGAAAGCCTGAGCAAATTTAAAAATAAATTAGTTTCCTGAATGTTGATATGTGTGTTATAAATATACATAATAAAACTCAGTGTAAGTAACTATGTCTTCTATGTAATTAAGTAGTATTATTATTGTTATTATTATCATTTTCATTATCATTATTATTATTAATTGTGTGCAGTGAAGTGAAGTGTGGGGACGTGAGTGCTATGAAAGATTGCACGGTGAAACATTCACGTTAATTTGCAAAGTTTGCAGATTTTGTAAAGTTGTTAAGTTCAGAAGTGTATTCTGCCACCAAGTTCTCAAACTTAATTGCAGAATTATTATCTATCTATCTATTTAGCGGTTTTGTACAGCCTTGGCCGTTTTCCGCATCCCAATTTCCATGCCTCTTTATCCCATACATCGTTTTCTTCCATTTCTCTTTTTTCCATGGCTTCTGTTATTGCCATGTTCCATGTTCTTCTCGGTCTTCCCCTGTACCTTCTTCGATTTGGTATCCACTCCCAAACTTTTTGAGGAAGTCTATCCGATTTTAACCTTCTCATATGTCCATACCGTTTTAGTTGTCTCATTTCGATCGTATCGTTCAAGGTTGTTTGCACTTTCATTTTATTTCTTATTTCATCATTTCTTATTTTATCTAACAGAGAAAGTTTACAACATCTTCGCCAGAACATCATTTCTGATGATTGAAATTTGTCTTTCAATTTTTTTGATAGTGTTTGCAGAATTATTAATAAATCTGATAAAAAAACCGCAACCACCGGAGTTGAGTCTCCTCCTTACAGCCTTCGTGCTCCGAGCCGAACAGCAACAGCGGCGCGCGCTGCGTTGCATGTCGCTGACGCGAACGCGCGTGGCCCGGATCAATTTGTCACCCGTCGGCGGAGGAGCGTGTAGTAACTGTGCCTTATCAGCAGGGGGAATTCTGAAACTCTCTTTGTGACTAGGTGGGACGCACGAGACAATCATTGCAGCCTTGAACTTCTTTGCTGCAGGTGAGTGAGTGTTTTAAACGCCTTTTTACTTTTTCGCTGCGGAATAGAGAGAAAGTTATCTAATGCTGCGCGCAAAAATGGCGAATGCTCGGTAGAAAAACGTTTATTACAGGGCCCTGTAACGAAAAATTGGATAAAACCAGTTGCTAAATTTATAAACAAAATCATCTAACACATAGTGAAGCCCGAATGTGTTTTGTGGATCCTTGATAGCCAAAAATCGAATGACTGCACAACATTCGTTCGTTCGTCCGCCCGCCCGTCTGCCCGTCTGTGAATTACGTTAGCGGCTAAAACATTTTGCCGATTTTCTAAAATACTGATATTCTCCTATCAAACTGGTTGATGTCGCGGTCCCTTGAATTTGAAACTGATATTTTAATTTTGGGGGATACTTTACATGAAGTCTATGGGACATTTTCCAAACTTTCAAAAAAAGTGGCTCCATTGTTTTTGTTTAAACTTTTTTGTTGGATAGTGTAAAAAACGTTTAAAAGAAAGGTGCAGGTCTCGTGTTTGTTGAAAATCCCTATTTTTCTAAAAATTCAGTAGTTTAAATTTTTTCGGAGTTTTCCTACAACTAAAATATTAACGATAGATAGTTTTCCCATAATGAGATATGTTTTTTAAAGATAGATTTTGAAATAAGTGCATGTACAATTTTCCGACTATTAGCGTACTTTTCACGTAATTTTATGTGAAAATACATGCGAGAAAGAATGTGCTGTTTTAACACCAGTAATTATCTCTTACAGCCAAGGCTGGGACACACTATTCGATCTCCGGTTTGGAGGGGTGTGGACCTTTTCATAAGATATCGGTTCATTTATTTATGAATATTATTATTTCTTTCTTACGTCCTGTAATACATTCGTGTATTTAGAATAATCTCGGTGTCTTGTTGCTGCAACTACAAACGTGTTATGAAGAATACAAGAAAATTAAATGAATGTAATAATTGTTCAAATTATAATAAAAACCAGCAAAATACCCGGCTTCGCCCTGCCTTTCTTGATATCCTATCCATCCAAAAGAGGAAATAGATCAATTTTATACAAACCGTGGTGTCTAAGATTATTTACAATGTAATTCGTTCAAATTTTAATAAAATACTATTAGTTTCTGTAGTTTATGTATTTTACAGTGTATTGATATTAGATTAAACATTTTTATCTTAATTATTGCTACTGGCCTCTAGTGAAGCTGTGGTACCAGTCCTGGTGCACCGCTTCTAGCCTCTGGCAGAATATATTAGGAACAAAGGTGCTCTTAGCGTCAGGCGAAAAATAACGATCGATGCATCTACCAATATATTTTCTAAATTATTTATTTTCCCCATTTTTGTTTTACTAATCTTTATCAAAAATTTGCGAGGACACTGCAACAATCCTGAAGAAGAGCCTGTAAATATTTCGTACACTACTGTTTGTAGCATCGATGTCTGTTCGTTGAATCGTTGAATCATTGATCGTTGAATTCTTTGAATCGTTGATATCGTTGAATTCACTTTTACTAGTGTAGATTAATCGAGCTTTATTAGTTCCTGGAAATTCAAAAGCCGAAGTCATCATATGCTTAATGAGCCTATCTTTATATTCCTATACAAATAATATTTTTTATTTGAATGTATTATTTTTCATTTGAATATATTCTATGATTCCATGTTCAGCAATTTCTTCCTTCAAGATTTTTGTAATAGTGCACTGAACGTACAGATACAAATTCAAATAAACACATACAAATTCAGATACAAAAACAGAAACAAATTCTGGAACAATATAATCACTATTCAAATTAATCACGGATTTTAAACATGTTTCTGAAAATGTAATTGAAGTATTTTCTATTTACCAAGGTCTGTATAATTATGTTGTAGTGCAAGAAATCCTACTATCTACTTTACTCATCTTCCCTTACGTAGGGGATCTACCTTACACCTGTCTACATTACTTTAATACAAAGATTAGTTATGTCGAATTGCAATGTCCAGCAATCTTGTGAAACATGTGTTCCTTTTATAAAAATTATATTTGATATTACAGATACGTTTAACTCTAAAAAGAAGAAATCCTAGAACAATGAGTGCAATTTCACTCATCCACACAAAAGGAATAAGGATAACAGACCGATAAGATTGATGTCACATTCGACATTCACACTCGACAGTGCACTTCGCTCAGCTGGTTAACGGCAACATTCCAAGCATGCCACTCATTTGTTTCCTAATTTAAGGTAACAACAGTGTGCAAAAGTCTGATTCGCTGTTTCCTAGGTTACACGCTGGCGTTATCACGTGACCTACGCAATGTCAACTGAGTGTTCCTGATAAAGTGCATTTTGATCCTCATTTTTACTCTAAACTTGAGTTTTCCATAAGCATCATCAGAAATTATTTAAAGTAATTGTACTCACAAATACTATAATGTTTACACATCCCTGGTAATGTAATATATTAACGGCATGAGAGATAATATATAAGAAATATATTTGTGTAATTTTTGAAAAAAAAACACAACCAAAATACAATAATACAAGAAGATGGCTTTTATGCCATCTTATACTGCGCATTTAGTACCACCCTTACAAAAAATTTGAAGAAAAAATTTGGGGACGTTTTCGAAATAAAAAAAAAAACACACTTGTTCTCATAAATGTAATACTGTACACAAATTGCCGGTACTGAAAATGTTAATGGTATGAACATGTATGAATAGGTGCCAAAATATTACCTTCGTGTACAATACATCAAAATGGCGTTTATGTCGTCAGTTACGGTACGTTTAACACTAATCCTACCAACAGTTTGAAAAGAATTTGGAGCTGTTTTTAAGATATTTTGTTTTTGATAATTTTTAATATTGTACATTTTCACTTAATATTTCGCGCAAACTACAACAATTTTTAAAAAATGTGAATGAAAGAACGTAATGAGAGAACTAATTGTGGAGAGCACATTTCATTTGATGGAAAAACCTGTATCTTCAATTTTGTAGTTGTAAAAAGTCGTCGAAAAAATTCAAACTTTCTCAATTTTCGAGTTAAATCTGAAAAAAGGACTTATTTCCTCTTTATACGTTTATTTTACTCCTTTCTTATAAACAACTTTGGAACGATGTGTGAGAAAATTTTGAAAATGTCGCAGGGGTTTCACGTACCCCCAAAATTTAAAGAATGTCTTGCAAAATCGCAGAGCTTGAAGTGTAGTCAAATTGACTGGAGAATATCTATTTTCGAAAAATGCTATGAATATCTTAGGCGCTAGTATTGTTCAGACGGATGGTCATTTTGAAAAAAAAAATCGGTTTAAAGATTCCACAATTTCTGACATCTGGCTATGTAACTGTTACAGTAGTTTACTACATATTTGAGCAGAATTTATCCACGTTGTATCAGTGCCCCACAATGGGAGTTTATCAGTCAAAAATGGTTTTTGATGCAGCATTAGATAACTTTCTCTATCCTACGTTTACTCCGTAAAATAAAAAAAATCGTAGCTTCATCTGAAGGGCGGACATGGTAAAGTGTATAAATAGTAAAAGTGAATTTTGAAGAAAAAATTACGAAAAACTGTTCAGTAACACTTAGGTTTCCAGAAGGTTAGGTCTGATTTTTGACGGGGGCTATCTTGGTACTTCTCATTTAATTTATTCTATCGTAAATACACGAATGCTTTACTCGATATTTCTATACATGTTTAATGCAACAATATCCCTATAGATGTACTGAGGTTGATCCGTCATGATACATTTGTGAATTAGATAGACCGTCTTTACAGAAGCTTGGTTATGAAAATTTACGTATGCATTTTACATTTCCTTCTCACGTGGGATTTGGGAATTTTCATTACTGCTACTACATCAATAACAATACTTGCTTCACAGTCAAACAACAATATAATTTGTATTCTGTGTACATGCATAAACATCGACAAACATACTTAGCATTTGCAAAATCCAACAACTCAATTAATGTTTACGATAAAAAAAACTTATTGTTATTATTTAATATTCTTCCCGTATCCTACCTCTTCCATGCACGGCCATTACTCTATCGTGAATCTTAATTTTGAATTTATTAGACTAATTCTAAAGTTGGTCCTCATACATTTATTAATACTGAATATGTCCCCTTTAGTCAACTTTCCAGTGGTATTCCTCTGCCTTCTTGGTTGTCGTTTCCGCGCCTATTCTGAGTTCCATTTTTGTTAGTTTAACCCAGTTCCAAGTTTTTAGTGTATCATGACGAGCGTAAAAAAGACGAATCCAATGATATACATATTTTCATAAGATAAATAAGCATTTTAAGTAATTTTGACTTTTTGCATCTCGTGTTTAACGGATAATGTAACGCCCCGAGCGCTCGTTAATAGGGAGGGCGCTGCGTGACTATAGATGGTGGGTTGTTACATTCAAAATATCCGTATGTAATATGTACATCTAAGTGATATTTAGACTTTAATATCCATTTTTTGTAAAGAAATGTAAATAATACTCAAATAAATAAATAATTTTATAATTACCTTATATTTTTGTTTTAACGTAAATATGTTTGATGTTACAAGCAAATATAAAAACAATTTTATATGTATACAATATTTGAATTGGTAAAAAATATCGTACATTTTGTATTCAAAAAATAAAAAAAAACTTTTAAGTCAAAAAAGCGAATTAAAAAGTCAAAGTCAGGCGCTAGACGAATGACTCACTGTCGAATGATCATATTTCTCGATTGGTGCACTGAAAGTGACGGAGCCGCATGTCCGCACACTGGGAGTTGCTCAAATACTGTATACGGATGTACGTAATATAGAGACAGTTATGTAATGCGGCGGAAAATTGATTTCGAGATCTCAACGGAAATACACGTTTCGGGATATCCAGATACAGAAAAGTGGTTTTCTTCATATCGTCCGTTTGTCTGTCCGTCCTTCCGTCCGTCCTTCCGTCCGTCCGTCCGTCCGTCCGTCCGTCCGTCCGTCCGTCCGTCCGTCCGTCCGTCCGTCCGTTCGTCTGTACAAATCCAAATTATTGAATGAAAAATTTCCATATAGAATGAGGTTTAACTTTTTTACTATTCTTATAGGAATATTTCGGTTCTACCATTAAAAACAGGAAATTTGAGATTTTTTAAAAACATATACTTGGGGTAGCGATAGATGGCAGCTGGCAAGACTATGCAGCAAATCCGAAAACTTAGCCCAGAACAAAAAAGAAAAAAAATAGGAAACTGAGTAAAATGAGAAAGTCTGTACCATTGTGTAGCACCACTAGTTTCAAAACATCCGTCCGTGTCTGTCTGTGAACAAATCTAGGGCCCAATCAATACATTTTTTTCCCAAAATGGATATTCTCTGGATAATCTGGTACAATTTGAGACACTGAAAAACTTTCTTTAAAATTTAGAAGCACTTTATATCAAGCCCTTGGTAGATTTTAAAGTTTTTCTCAATAATGGCTCCAAATTGTTTCTTCAAATATTTTGAAAGAATAGTGTAACTTACCACTTATAACGATGGCATAGATCTGTTTTCTTTGTTAACTATAAATTTTGGAAAATTTCAAATGTTTGAAATTTTCCGGCGTCTTCTTACAATTACAAATTTGAAGATTGGAATTCTCCTTTAAGCAATTTTTTTCACTATATTCAGTTCGTTCATTAAAGTCGTGTATTTTTTTAATTAAAAAATTTCACGCTTTATTGCGTGTATTATGTGCTATATTAAAAAATAACAAGAACAAGATTTTCTCAAAAACGGCTCCAAATTTTTTAACCTTTTGGTAGGGTAGTGCTAAATGTGCTCTATTAGGTGACATAAAGCCATATTGCTCAACTATGTTTTTTTCAAAAGTTACAAAAAATTAAATTTTTGATTTGTTTCTCATGTCTTTAATATTTACATTAGCGGCAATTTGTTCACATTTTTGTGGTTATGAGTGCTTGTGCTTTATATTATTTCAAGTAAAGTTTCTCGAAAACTCAACAGTTTTCTGTGAAATTGAGCTCAAAATTCCTAGTTTGAGAAATGCTCAAACGCCGTTTTCTTAAAAAGGATCAAAAGTTTCTTTTGAAACTTTTCCAAATGTTTAGTATGTATCCACTGTTTAGTATCACTTAAGTTCATTTTTGGGTATTCTTATGTTTTTTTCAAAACTAACATAAGTGTATATTTTTAAATGCATTCCACGCCATTAATATGCACATTTTCAACAAGTTATATACATTATTGCAATTGTGAGTGCTTTAAATGACTTCCAATAATGTTTTTCGAAAACCCAAGACATTTTTATACCTTCAAATTTCGCATTTGCTATAACATTTAAATTGTCATTTTCTTTAAATCAGCTTCAAATATTTCAACGAAAATGTTCATAAAGGACGAGGTTTTAATTTCATCTTTAGCATTCTTAAAGTAATATTTCGGTTCTACCATTAAGAAACCCCAAAAATGAGAAACTTTTGAAATAAATGTTCTTTAGGCAGCGACAGATGACGGCTGGCAAGAGAATAGGGCATGATCGAAGAGCTAACGCAGTCCAAAAGAAATTATAAAACTAATACAACAAAGTCTGTACTAATCTGTAGCACTACTAGTTTCTTTACATTTTTTTGTAAGAATAGGGTGAAATCGTGTAAAATATGACATCGGTCCAATTTTCACTGTCAATCCTGAATTTTTGTAAATTTTAAAAGTTTGAACTTTTTATTTCCTCGTGCTACTACATTATTGTACGTATAAATACTGATATTTTATTTAAATGAAATGCTGTCAATAACTAAATTCTGTAATGCCATGTCCTTCTTCGAGAGTATTAGTTGTTTCACACATTTTTAAATGAAACATGGGCAATTTTGAAAACAATATTTTTGTCTAAAACGGCTCAAAATTTTATTCGTTACGCTTTAAGTACGAATAGTGTTAAATGAGCTGAATAACATTTGAAAATAATTCTTAATTTTTGGGGTACCTCTCATGGCACTGGGACGTTTTTCAATTTTTTAAAAGAAAATTCCTAATACGGGAGTTGAAGCACAGGTCTATCTAACTCTCAAAAAATTTCACCCTCAAGGTTGGAAGGAGTTGTAATTTTCTACCCTTACACTTATGAAGATTATTCTGAAGCTAGACAAACTACATCCCAACATTTATATATTGTATTAGGTTCCCGAATTCTCGTATAAGGATTAGTTTATCACAATCAGCTGACGTACAGAATTTGTTTATTTCTTCTTTTATTCATATCCGACAGTCCTAGTGACAACTCGTCGTCGTTCCAAGGAGACACATCTTCCCGCCTTTCCAATGTTAAAGTTTTTGTTACCTTAAGCTTCTTTTTGCAGTAGAACAACCGACCATCCCACCATGAGTAATCCAGATAAATCAGAAGATCACCTCGGAGACGTAGCAACGCGACCGTCTTGGTTGGACACGCAACTTATTCGACAAGCGCTGCGCAACGGCGGAGAGGAGAACCCTGTAGTTGCGTCGATTTCCGTGAGGCACGCTGTCGCCCCCGGAGAAAACTACATCAGCACAGTCTACCGAGTGATGGCAACTCTATCTGATGGAAGGCAACGTCATTTCATCATCAAGGGTCCAGCAATAGGGGGAATGTCCGAAATGGCCAAGGGTACCTGTGTTTTCCAACGAGAAATCGACATGTTCACCGACTACATCCCTAAAATGGAGGTAAAAGTGGAGGTTTCTTTCCTTTCTATGACATCCTGCGTTGGTTTTGATGTGATATCCGGATGTTCCTCCAGTTAAATTTTTAATTTTCCTCCATATTCTATGGTATAGGGAGGTGTTTGGCCGAGTTGATATTTTTTACTTGTTCCCCCTATACTTGTCCCCCCTATAGTTCAGTCAAGAAAAGTGGTGGAGTCACCTCAACAATAATATCTCTAATTTTCGCTCCAAAAATCCGTTTTAAAGATTTTTGGGCTGGAATTTTGCACATATATCATTATTTGTCTATTGGTGCTGTTCTAACGATATTTAAGATTGGTTTGGATAGTGAGGAAATACACGTTATTTTATACCTTCCCTGTGTGGCTGGAATGATAGATGAGTCATTCATAATTCCGTCAAATGAGAATATTTTGAGCCCAAACGTACTAAAATCTCAGGCGCAAGGGTCTAGGTGTACCGTTCCGGGAATTATTAAGATAATTTAATTTTAGTTACATAATTTACTGTGATATTTTTAATATTGTTTTTCTGAAAAACTGGCATAAAATTGTGTTGTTTTTTTTTGCTAAATAGAATAAAGTGTTTTGTAAATATGGTGTGTACTTTTTTAAATTTCGAAAATTAAAATCCACACTGTCAATATTAAAGCTAGATCTTTATTTTTTACGAAATTTGTTCTCTAAATTTCATATCTTTAAATGATGTCCTTGTTCAATAAAAATATAAGTTGTTGACAAAATTTGACGGAAATTGTGACATTTTCCGTCAAAAAATTGTAAGCAATAATTTCTCAAGAACGGAATTAAACTATTCAAATTATATATTTCATAACATTAAGAGGAAACTTTGTGGTATATGGCGTATCTTCGCTTGTTCTCATTACAAGTGTCCGCTTCTTAAGTTTTACACCGAAGTTGATAAAAGTGAGATATATACCATTGAGGCGGGTGAGGAGGCGCCCATGGTATTTAACAGAAGATTAATGTTTTTTACCTCGTACGTGGTTCGTCTGGAGCAGGCCCTGTTAGAAGCAGCAGCCCCCGGCCGGTTCCCACCCTTGGCTCCACGTTGCTACCACCACGGCACCTCCCCCGTGGAGTTCCTGGTGATGGAGGACCTGGCACCTTCCGGCTTCAAGGTGGCCGACCGGAAGAGAGGCCTCGGCCTGAGGCACAGCCTGCTCGCGCTTCGAACCCTGGCCCGCTTCCACGCCGCCTCGCACGCGCTCTTGCAGCGCCAACCGGAACTGGCGGAGCGGCTGGACAACACCCTGAAGTCGGACAACCAAGCCTTGGTGGACTACGTGAACGGAGAGCTGCAGGCCACTGCCATCGCGTGCCGCTCGTGGCCTGGATTCGAGGAGATTGCGGATCGGCTGGAGAAGTTCAAGGTATGAAAGGAAGGGGCTGAGGATTTCAAATGTATCACCGGAAGAGATGGCGCAGAGCGTCAACTGATGTGACTGAAGTCCCTCTGACCGGGAGGACCTACATTCGAGACCCGACGGTGGCAGGCTACTTAGCTAGGTTGAATTCAGCCGCTGTCTGGAGGAGAATTATTCAGACCGACTGCTCTGATCGCTAGTTTTCCGTAGTTTCTCCGATGAACACCACGCGAATGCCGAAGCAGTACCCTAACAAACGGGTCACGGACCGCGCACGATCTTTCCTACCTCTTTCTTATCCTATCCACTCCCCTCACACCCTTATTTACTTGCACTACACTACTGTACATGTCAGATTACCGGTCGGGAACTTAGAGCGTACCCCGGCTGAAGCGGTTCCTCGCTGGCGGGAGATACCTGTTTGGGGAAAACCCCGCTAGACGACGGTAAATCTTGCCAGACGGCGAGGGAAAGATCACCCCCACCTCCGGAACAAAAACATGCACTACACTTTCGAGACTACTGACCCTGGTAGTTTACGTGCCCGGAATTACTAAAACAAACAATGAATCAACCATTTTTTATCAAATACATTATTTTACATAAACCTTTACAACGAAAACGCTAATGTAATGAACACGTTTACATGACTGCTTCTGGGTATATGTGTGACTTCTGGGTATAATGGGACTTTCTAAGTTGTAAAAATAACCGATTCATTTATGGGGACCAAGATCATTGTTTGCAAATGAACATGCGGCGGTAAATGTCACATCGCGATCTTACAAATGTGACACCTGCCCCCCGAATGGCAGGCAACCCGCAATGCATTGGTGTACGGCAAAAAGCATACTAAGCACCCATTGCATGTACCTTCTGAAACAATTGCTTGATATGGCGCCTAGCACTCAGGGGGAAATGTCACGTGTGAAACTTCGTTGTATTGCATTTCCTAATTCAGTGTCTACTGCGAAGGTGATTAGTCTCGTAAATGTAGTGCAAGTTTTTAAGGCGGGAGGTGGTGATTTCTCCCCTCTGGATGGCGAGTCTGGCACCGACGTACCCGACGGCTTCCAGGGGTTTCCCCAACCTGGTATCTCCCAACCAGCGAGGCACCGCCCCCAGCCGAGAGAAGCACTAGGCTCCCGACTAGTCTCCCGTCATGTGTTGTAGTATAGGGCATGCCAATGAGTGTGTGTGTGTGTGTGTGTGTGTGTGTAAGTAAGGGGTGAGGATAGGACAATGAAGGAGAAAGAAATATGGCGCTCGGTCCGTGACCCGTTTGTGAGGGTACTGCTCCGGCATTCACCTCCGTTCTCATGTTCATTGGCATTACGTGATTATCTTTTACCCTTATATGCCCTAGAAGTTTGAATAATTTATTGTGATATTTTATTCATTTTGGGATATTTACATATTCCATGCATCCATCTTTAAATGAACTCTAAAAAGTTTCCCTAAATCTTAATTTATAAAGTTGCAAAGTTTGTATGTTTAAAGTCAAAAAGAAGTAGCATTTTTGAAAACATTGAAATGAAATTTTCTCGAAAACAAATTGAATATCTTCTTCAAAATCTTCATATTGTAACGTTTATCCGTGGCGAATTGAAACCAACGCAATATTCTAAACCAAGAAGTTTATTCGTGAACTATTTTATACACTAAAATCTACTGACACTAAAAACTACTTGGTCTATTTACAGATATATTACACTTAATAATTTTTCTTTACACACGACTCCGTTCTCGTGATTGTTTATTTATACAGTTCATTTCTTACACACTATTTATTTACACTGTTCTCTTCTTCTACAGTATCACCCAGTCCGATACACTGTCCACGGTCCACTGCACTGACCCAAATTACCGGCGCAGACCACAATTCCCTGCGCAGACCACAATTCCTTGCGCAGACCACACTTCACTGCGCACACCAGAGTCCACTGCACCACTGTTTACCGCGATGCACACTTCACAGCTCAGCTTCCACTGCAGACTTCAGACTGCTGACTGCTGTTCACTCACTGCACCACTGTTCACCGCAATGCACACTTTTCAACACAGCTTCCACTTTGGACACACTGACGGACTGACTGCTTATCCCCTGATTGCTACTTCTCACTACTCACTGTCTTCTACTCGCTGACTCGCGGCCGCCGGCAGCGGCGCATTTATACCTGCCCGGCGCTCGTCTATGGGCACCCGGCACATTCTCCGCGTTTCCCCGCGGCTCGCGAATAGTCTGGAATCGTCCAGTTCGGGGTGAAGGGGCGCTGGCAGATGACGCAATCTGTGCGCAACGAATTCCGGCAAGTGATGCAATATTCGTTACAATATTAAATAAGGTTTCGCTGATATAAGATATTCTTAAAGACTCACTTTAATTACAATATAAGAGGTCGGACAAATTAAGAGAATGTTCGGATGTAGGAGCATCGTGAGCAATAAAACTATCTAGAATGCAGATGAGACATTTTAAAACAGAGTCATTTTGTTCATTAATATTTTCATAAAATATTTTGTTCTACAATTTTGTGCGTGGAGTTTGTTCTTTCTGAGAAGGAAGTGTGTTTATGAGTGAGGTAGCTTATCATTTAAAATTTTAATCTTTAGATCATTAGTGCTTGACGAACAACTGTGTTTAACGTCAATTAAACATATAGGGGGTTCAAAAATGAATTATTAAATGCAGAAAAATGTCAATTTCCTTGACATGACAGAACTTGAAATGGACCATAAAGGTTAAAAAAATGTGCTTTGTGTACTATGTTTTAAGCAGTTTGATGCATTATGACATAACATAGAAGAAATAATAGTAGTATAGATTTTAGTTTTCATTGTAATTTTTATAATTTTATGGAACTGTTATAAGTTGTACATGCAAATCTGTGCTTTGTTATAGTATCATTGCCCTTGCTATTTATAGAACGTTAATAATGTTTCTTTGTTGTAGTCCGTTTCAGGTATAGTTTTTGACGAAGTAAACAAACCTACACCTGGAGCCTTCAACGTCATCACCCATGGCGACTTCTGGGTGAACAACATGATGTACCGTTATGAAGATGGACATCCAATGGAACTGAAATTAGTTGATCTTCAGGTGTGCATATTATTACTCCTGAAGTAACGTTTGGATACATATCGACGAATTAATAATATGTACTTGTATTGTACGATTTTAACCTTTATCAATAGCCAACTCATGGATCGGAGCGAAAGTCGCTTGCCTTTAACCAAGGAGGTTCGGGTTCGATTCCTGGACAATCTCATGAGAAATTTGTTCCGACAAAGCAAACTTGCCTGTTTTACAGGGGCTAATCCAACCTTTTTAAAGTGTCCTAGACCCTACCACTGTCCTAATTCCTTCCCTATTCAAAAAAACAAGGCTTCCAACTGCTTTGAATATCCTCTTCAAGGGATTGCCAAGGATCACACGCGATCTTTGTGTTACTACTACTAAACTTAATAATGTTGTCCTCCTTTTATAAAGTTCCAATGGCTCAATGCTTTTGTAAACCAAACGTCAGCAAATTTGTAATTGGATGGTTGCGGTGGGTTATCGAATGATTGATTCATTGAATGTTTCACGTTTCTGGGTGCATCAACTTCTTTGCTCATTACTCCCGTAAGGGGAACGCGATTTGCTCATTACTCCCGTAAGGGGAACGCGCTTTGCTCATTACTCCCGTAAGGGGAACGCGCTTTGACCATTTGCTTCCGAAAGGGGAACGCGCTTTGCTTATTACTCCCGTAAGGTGAACGCGCTGTGCTCATTACTCCCGTAAGGGGAACGCGTGATTATCGCGGAAGGGGGACGGTGATCTTCCTCCGCATGATAAGGTTCGGTGCCGACATCCACGTCGGCGTTCGGGGGTTCCCCCTATTCAGGTATCTCTCACCAGTGGAGCTCCACCCCAGCCGGGAAAACCTCTAAGATCCCGACACGTGTGGTAGTGTAAGTGTGTGTGAGGATTAGACAAGATAAGGCAACAAAAGATCGCGCGCTGTCCGAGGCCCGTTTGTGAGGGTACTGCTCTGTTAATCGTCTAGCGTCATTTGAAGAACCCACGGAAAACTTCCGATCAGAGCAGCCAGCCGATAGAATTGTCCTGAAGAGAGCAGCTGAACTCGACCTAGTTTTATAACTTGTCTGAAATTTGCTGAGAAACTCTTAGCTTTTGCACATTAGTTTCGTTATGATTTTGCTTCTTATTCCTTTTTTACCGGCGACAAGGTTGTACCAAAGTCGTAGTGTGGGGGTTATTAAATATTGTTGAAGAAAAAACCCTATTATTTTCGGATACAAACGAAGAAAAACGCAAATTTTTCAATTGGTGGGAATGTGATGACACTGATAAATATAGTGTGACTGATAAAGATAGTCTGACTGATGAAGTCTGTCTGACTGACTGATAAAGACAGACTGACTGATTCGCAGAAATAGTCTGACTGAAAGACAAATACTGAATGGCTAAAAGATTAAGACTGACTGAAAGACAAAAACAGACTACTAATAGAGACTGACGGACCGATAGAGAGAGAATACGTTTATTAAGTCAGCCCTTCATTGCCCGTCGCACTGTAATCTTTCCCAACCTCGCCAGTCGGCCATCACAATTTCGGTTCACTCGCTAATCGCAAATGACCTTCCGTATCTTCAAAAGCGCTTCGAGTCTCCAAAATACGCTGTAAGTTCCAGTGACGTATACACTAAGACGTAATTCAATATTATACTATCACTTTCTCGAAACTCTATGCTACTGAGGCTTAATAATACAGAAATTACTTAAACATAGCATTATGAGAAACATACCGGTGTGGTTTTCTCCACAGGAAAGGACGTTTGTGCACTAATGTATGGGATTATTTCTTTGCATATCCTCTAATATATTTAAGCCCCAAAATTTCGTTTCTTATGTGCGATGTAAATTGAGGTTATTCTTTGGTACTTCGTACTTCAAATTTATGTCCACAAAAGTAAAAAAATATGTAGTAATGGCGGCAGTTGGATAGATACATGTATATTAAAATATTTTGAACGATTCTGTAAGGCAAAACGAGTCGTTAAGTCAAAGTAAAAACGTCTGTTTAGCTCTCCCACGTTTCGTCCCCGGCCATCGATGTGCTGCACGTCTTCTCCAACAGCTTGAGCGACGACGTGGATGAGCACCACCAACCCTTCCTGCTGCGCGAGTACCACTTCGAGCTGAAGACCACCTTGGAACTCCTGGGGCATGAGGTAAGGCTGTGACCTATACATACACCATTGGGACCTACCAGATATTCCTAATTATCCAATACATTTGTGAACAGTCACAATTCACCACCCAACCTCGTCCTTGTGTCGACGGCGAAGAGTAGGTGGCGCCATACCCTCACCTCCCCCTTGGACCACTTCGGAGGCAGACGTTTAGAGAGAGAGAGAGAGAGAGAGACAGACGTAAGAGGTGAAGAGACAGCTCAGCAGAAACACACTGACTGACTGATGGCCAGATACTGACTGACCGACAGACTGACAGATAAAGACGGACTGATAAAGATATGGTGACTGGTCAAGAGAGTCTGACTGATAAAGATATTATAACTGATAAAGACTGATATAGTCCGTCTGACTGACTGATAAAGACTGACTGATTCGCAGAAATAGTCTGACTGAAAGACAAAGACAGAATGGCTAAAATATTAAGACTGACTGACTGAAAGACAAAGACAGACTGACTAATAGAGACTGACGGACCGATAGAGAGAGAATTACTGATAGATAGAAGCAAAGAGAAAGAGAGGATGAGAGAGAATGAAATAGCGTGAGAGAACGAGGAGGGAGGGGGATAACGAGGGAGAGGGCGAAAGAGAGAGGGAGTGGAAGAAACAGTAATGGAGGGAGAGAGGGGAAGGGGATAGGAAGAGGGAGAGGAAGATAGGGAGTACGAGAGGGAAAGGGGAGGAAGGGGAAGGGGAAGTGAGGGAAAGGGGGGAGAGGGAGGGAGGGAGAGAAGAGAGATGAAAAGGGGAATGAGGGAGGGAGAGGGGGCAAAAGGAAAGGGGAATGAGGGAGGGAGAGGTGAGAGAAGGAAAGGGGGGAGAGGGGGAGGGAGAGATTGAAAGAGAGGAACGGAGGGAAGGAAAGAAAGGAAGAGAGGTGGAGAGGGAGAAAATAACGTTTGGTCATCCAAACGAGGAGAAGACGTCGTTGCTTTGTCGCGTGCTTCCCGCGTGCGCAGGCGCCTTCCCCTGCGTGGCTGGAGCGCTCGCTGGACGCGCACGGCGCCTACGCCGTCTTCACCGCCCTGGAGACGCCGCTGGTGAAGGCGGAGCGCGGCGTGGACGTGGCGGCGCTCAGCGGCGGCGACTGCGCGTCCTTCCTGCGCCTCCTGCGCACGCCGCCCCTGCGCCGACGCATGCAGCGCAAGCTCGAGGACTACGCGCGCAGGGGCTGGCTGCCCGCGTGACGACGGACGGCAGTTTTTGTGTGTGTCTGTGGGACGATCGCTCTAAGACGGAACGGAAAGACTGCGGAATGTGCGTGGTCCCGCGCAATAGGTCGGGACGGGACGGGAAGGGATGGGACTGGACGGGACGGGCGGCTGGTTTTGTGTAAGTCGCGCGTAGTAGGACGATACGAATAGACGGCAGTTTTTCGTGGGTCACATGCTCTTGACGGCAGTTCGTGCGTGAGTCGCGCGTAGTACGACGAAACAGCCGGCCGGCCGGAACGGGACGGGCGGCATGTTTTGAGCACGTACTAGCTCGAGATGGGCTGGACGAAACGGATGGCAGTTTCACCATGCATCGCGCACTCAAGGAAGGGACAGACGGCAGTTTGCGCAAGATGTCACGCGCAATATAATGGGACGAGACGGACGGCTGGTATTGTGTAAGTCGCGCGCAGTAGGACGATACGGATAGACGGCAGTTTTTCCTGGGCCACACGCACTAGAACGGGATAGTCGGAAGGAACGGACGGCAGGTTCTTTGTAGTTCGCTCGCTCTAAGACGCAACAGACGGCAGTTTGGGCGTGAGTCGTGCGCAATACAGCCGGCCAGTCTGGACGGGACGGGCGGCATGTTTTGTGCGCGTACCAGGTCGAGATGGGGTGGACGAAACGGATGGCAGTTTCACCGTGGATCGCGCATACAAGGACGGGACGGACGGTCGGCAGGTTTTGTGTGAGTCACTCGCTGTGAGACGGGATGGACGGGACAGGCTGCGGTTTGTGCGGGCAATAGGACGCGACAGCCGGATGGACGGGACGAAACGGACGGCTGGTTTGTGTGGGTCGAGCGCACCAGGAATGGATGGAGTAGCCGAAACGGACGGCAGTTTCTGTCTCCACTGGGATGGGTGGCTGCGGACTCTTCAGATTGTTTTGGACTCAGTTTCGCTCCCTGCTCCGCGTCTTTTATTGTGAGTTATTATTCATAACGTTAATTAAAGAAACAAACGCTTTGAACGATAGTTTAAAAAATTTTCACTTGAGAATAAATTCAAAGACTGCCATTCTTTGTAACGTATGTCTGAAAAAAAATAATGCAAATTTATTATATGTGATTATCTGTGTAAGAAATTAAAGGACCTTCCAACCAATTTTGAAACCAAACGCTTTGTATTCATTTTTAGTAGCAATGTTGAGAGAAGTCCTGTTTCTTGGTTCAGAATGACAACAGAACGAGTGGCAAATGGGGAATTTCACTTGTTATTTCCTGTCTGTTAGAAGATGAAAACTTATTTCAGTTGGAAATCTCGCGTAAATTGGATATTCTGAAGAAAAAATGTAAATGGTAATTAGAGTAAACGTGTTATTATATAGCGTTAATGAGAAAATCATAATTGGATATCATTGGGAATCTTCAGAACTTTCCGAATCATTGGGAATCATAACTGAATCATAATTTACAGGTATTTGTAAACTTAAGAAAATATAGGTGCAGTCAAGACAAAAATATTTTTTCTAATAAGACACACAATATAATATACATTATTTAATAAAATAATTAATCATTCAAAAACATAGTATAATTTATTCACCATGCACAAATGTACCCAGTTTCACTGATACTGCTCAGCTTCTTCTCAATATCTTGTATTTAAAATTTGGTAAATGTTCCCTTAATACAGATTGTTATGCTAACCAGCTAAATTATACTTCGGAGAATTGGATAATACACGAATCTAAACTTAATATCATGTACAACGGAATAATTCTAGATTTCGTTTATTATCATGTGGCAATATGTTCTAAAATAATGTGCATGTATTCTAAGACATGGGGATTTTGTGTAGTTAGCTGTTACCTAATGAATACATACTGACATTTGATGAAAATGATCCCACCCATGTTACATATTTGAAAATATATGTCACTAGTTGAATGTCGTCACTGTTTTAACTGTAAAAATTGTTATAAAGTAATAGCTGATAATGTTATACTCCTCTTCAAAATATCCCAACACCCAATGGCTTTGTTTGTTGCCTCCATACGAGATAGAAACAGGTAATACTGCAATTTTAAAGTTACAATCTGCTGTCATGGTATACCTGGATGGAAAAAGCCCCGCTTGCTGACATATAGGTCGGCGCCGGACTTCACCATCCAGCGGGAGATTATCACCACCGTCCGAGACAAGATATGCACTGCGCTTTCGGGACTAATGACTTTAGAAGTTAACGCTCCCGGAACACGAAGTAATCGAGGTAAATTGCATTAAAGCGCATTCACACCAGTGAACCTATATCGTCAACAAAACATCACTGATCTATATTAAAACGTCGAAGTAAATACATCGTCCTAAAACCATTGATTTTTTAAACATATATTTTTTAAAGATGGTTTAGTATTTCCTAACATTACATTCATGCGCGAAAAAAAATAATTTGGTAGTAATCAATGTGTAAATAGGCCTCGACTACAAACAAAGTTAAAAACTATACGATCAATGGACAAGACAGAGCCTGAATGTTGGGTGTTATTTCAAAGGTACGAGAAGAAAGGGGAAGCCCTTGTATGTCTACGAGCATGCGTTGACCGTCTCTCTGACATGTGCTCCAAGGGGATGTAGGTTTAGCTTCATTCATTCATTGATTAGTGATTCCGGGCGCGTCAACTGCTAAGGTCATTAGTCCTGTAAGTGAGGTGGCGGAGAACTTCCCCCGCTGAACGATGAGATCCGGCGGGCGCCGACCTTCCCATCGGTTAAAGGGGTTTTCCCCAATCAGGTATCTCCCACGAGCATAGCACCGCTCCAACCGGGGCAACCTCTAAACACTCGGCTGATCTTCCGGCTTGTAAGTGTAAGGGGTGAGGATAGGAAGAGGAAGGAAAGATCGCGCGCAGTCCGTGGCCCATTTGTTAGGATACTACTCCGGCATTCGCCTGGTGTTGACCGGAGTCACCACGGAAAGCTACCTATTAGGGCAGCCGACAGCTAGAATTCTTCAGAGACTGAATTCGACCTCGCTATCTAGTGTTGAAAATTCTGCTAACCTCGGGACTCGAACCTAAGACCTCACCGTCTAAGGCACTTAGGTGACAACAGTTGCTCAATGCCCTATGTCACCTGTCCCAGTGGGGAAAAAACGAAGGAATGGTTGGGGGCGAGACGGGAGGGACTTCGTTGGCAGCTCGGGCGTTAGTCTGTTTTAATAACTTGATATATTTTGCACATTTTTAGAAACTCTCAAATGACATTTTCTGAAAAATAGAAATAAAATTGTATAAGAAATGTTGGATATGGAATTTATTTACTGTTCTATGGTATTAGTAAAGTCTTTTTTCTTTTCTAGTATTAGGAGACCGAAAAGTTTTAAAAAATGTAAGAAAATGTTTTTTAGTATCCAATAGATGGCAACTAGGATGAAAGTGTGCTAAAACAAAGCTATCCCAGATGCAAGAGAATATGAAACTAACTAGTGTGTAGACGTCTGCGCCATTCTGAAGCACTACTAGTTTTTTATACGATTGAATGTAATCTGTTTGGTTTGCAGTGGTTTTAAAGTGTTTTAATATTGTGTTCCACATAAATAGCTACAAAAACCACAAATCGTAAATTACGGTCCATCAGGATGTTCAAATAATGGCCAACTCTTTTCTTACGAGATCACAGGTTACCATACCTTAGACTGACACAGAGAGACGGAGATTATGGAACAGGGAGAGAGAAAGGGAAGAGAGGGGGTGGAGTGAAAAAGCAACAAACGACGATAAGATAGCGAAAGCATCAATGAGATTATTTTTCGCTTTGTAATCGTGTTTACGTTTTCATTCTTGTTACTATCTCGAGATGCACTACGTGAAGTTTTCAGTGATCATGATAGTACAAAATCAGTTATTTATCAGCGGCCCTCGGAATTTCAGGGTCTGTCAAAATTTCGTGAATACCATTCATTGTTTTCTGTGCACGTTTTAGCAATAATTATTATTATTACTCCTATATAATCGGCTATTTAGATTCTATCCACACCACATAAATCAATACAGTTTCCATTAAAGATCACAGATAACGTACAGTACTTTCTCATTATACTACGAACTACGTGCAAATGGATTTACAATTGAAGAGCAGAAAACGCATTTTCGTAGTGTGAATCATTGAAATTAAAATTATCATTAAAATTATTGAAGATATATGGTACCAAGTGTAGTGTAGGAACAAAAATATTGAGTAAGTATTTAAATTAACAAGTAAAAGTTTCTTCTCAATCTTCTTCTAGCTACCCATATCACGTTCATCCGCGTATTTGGAAACTACGACAGAGCCATCAAAAGTTGGTTTGAAGAAATATTTTTTACGCAAAAATGGACATTTAAGAAAAATATCAACACTCCAGAAACATGTAAATTGTTTATTATTTGCAAAATAAATAAATATATTTGTTTACAAAGAATATGTAACAGAATAGTAATTGAATTGTGAAAATCGGGTGATTTATTTTTTATTTTTTGTGTGCACAATTGTATTAATTTCTCTTGTAAATAATAAGCAATTTATAAGTTTCTGGAGGGTTTATATGTTTCCGAAATGAAGATTTTTGCATAGAAATCCTTTATTCGGACCAACTTTTCAATTCTTATTGCAGCTCAGCCTATTCGAAATATCGAAGGAATTTATTAGACAAAATATGCTTAAAATTGACGTAAGACCTTATTTTCTAAGTTTCGTGGTTTCCTCCCTGGACATCCTGTGTAATGAGAACCATATGGTGATGGGGATCAGCCCAAAATCCTCATCCATGGTGTGGAATGGAAGGATCGTGTGTTAGGTGTGGGCCGTTTTGTGGAGTACTGTTTTCGCCCTTTTTTTCACATAGTTATGCACATACTGTTCTGGCATTCACGGGGGTTAAGTTGGTTTAGTCCTTCAATTATTATCACTGCAGTGTCTCTGACCGAGAGGCTGCAGATTTTGAGTCCCGACGTCGGCTGGATTTTCGACACTAGCTGCATAACGAATACAAGTCGAATTCAATTGCTGGCTGGATGAGAATTCTATCGGCTGGCTGCTCAAATCGGTATTTTTCCATGGTTTCTCCGATAAATAACCGTTGAATGCCGGAGCAGAACCCAACAACGGATT